GATCTCTGCTGGATCTCTGATACATATGCTCACTTCGGACACACGTTTACTCCCCATTCGCTTCCTTCCTCAGCTTCCCTCTCTAAATCCTGCTAGCCACTTTGTTTTGATTAGGACTGGGCTTGCCTGGTCCCCAGCAGAAGTGAAAGATGACAAGTTTGTAATAGCACACTCTGCATGGAGAATTCTGTACTTCAAAGGGGCACTGCTATGTCATATTTAACAATAAGGAGCAATGTAATATTGATCCCATTTGCTTGCCCAGAACTTCCAGTTATTCTGAGCAATTAAGTAGCTTTTTACAGGCTCCTAATAACACAGAAATGGAAAATATGTGCTAGATGAATGAATGTATCCTTGCAAAAGCACAGGATCACATGTGTCACAACATTAGGAAGTCAGCATTCAGTGTATCGTGCCATGCCCAACTTCATCCTAGAAAAAGTAGTTCAGCTGTAGCTGAAATACTAGGAATTTAAAGAACAGGCATCTGATTCATCATCAAAAAGGATGGTCCATCAAATTAAGGGAAAGCACTTTTGAGATCCTGCTTACATGTCTAATTTTCCATGTTTACAATCATAACTGCATAGTCTCAGTAATTTTCCCTCCTTTTGTTATAGGTACTTGCAACAATAAGAGCAAAATTTATATATACAAACGATAGCGCAGTGCAGAAGGATTCAATGAAAGAAAAAAGACTCTCTTCCACTTTTATCAAACCTTGTAATAACAGTAACTTGCAGCAACAGTAAGAAAGTTCAGATGAAAGTGAAAAATTTCAAACCATGTTCCTTTTAATGTGAAAACAAAATACACCAACTCCTGTATGCTGCTCCTCCCTTCCTTCCTCTCCCCATCTCATAAAAGAGGATCCCAAAGAAGGATCATGTTTAAGGTCCCAGTTCAGAAATCCTATTTCAATCCCTTAACACGGTCAGAATTTTGGACTATGGAGCCAGGTCCCAACAAACATCTTCTAAACTGAACAATCCATCTCATCCAGAAAGACCACATTACTCAGAAACAGAACATAAAATTATAACCTTCGATATTCACAAACATGTATTTAATTGTGTCTATTTACATCCAGCACCCTACCCTTCATTATCATCTTTAACATCTAGGCTTCATGCTAAGCAAAGGAAAATAGACACATTCCTAACATAGTCCATACAAACTGCATGCAAAGAAGAATCTGCAGCATCTCTGCCTTACTGCCAGCATCCAAAAAAGTTGTGTGTATAATTTTGAACATGCAAAAAAATTTCAACAAATATCATCCTTTTCTCTGATTTTATGAAAGCTTGAGCTCTTAGCAATGAAGACCTTTTTTCATGGGCACCACAAAAGGTTTCACTCGCTTCACCTCTCCAGTCTGTTTTACCCTTTGACAAACAGATCTTTTTCTGAAATTTAACAAGATCTGTTCACACATAACTATGTGCAGAATTCACATCATGAAAGAGAAGCAAGCTGTATTATTCATACCATGCTAACCTATTAAAAGTCCAAATGACAATACTGAGCCAAATTCAGTAAGGTGCACATTCCTTGGATTTAACAGAATTGCACAGGACTAACATTGCTACTATTCATTTTTTTGTAAAAGAAACACAGTGGCGTCAGCACATTGCTGCATTGGACACGGCTTGTCTTTGAAAAATTAAATACTTTTTAGGACTTGTAATTTTTATATGACACTGAGTGACTCAAAAACATGACTTAAAGTATAAGCTGTATCAGAATAAAGCTAAAAAAGGACAAGAGTGTAGATGTTTGTAAGTGTACCCTATTTACATTGTACACACACACACAAAGATGCACATCCATAATGGCTGTCGTGTTTCTACCTTAAATAATGCATCTAGCTCTAGGTACCGCATTACCAGAGGGGTAACAACAACCTGAAGGTACTTCAGAGAAGATCAATCAAAATGATTAGTGCTGAAGGAAGGACTTAAAAGGTAGCGTTAAAAACTCAATACTGCAGCTGTTTCATGAACAGAACTTTCATTGGGTGAAGGGGAAGAGAAGTCCAAACAAAAGCATCATCCTCTAAAAATATATCAATATATACAATTAGTGAAGCACTGACTTTAGAAAAACATGACTATAATCTGCACACAACCAAGGGGGAACTCCAAGAAGAAAGCAAAATTATTTATTGCAAGCTCAAAAGTCTAGGTATAATGGGCTTAAACTATTACAGGAATTTTGACTCTACATCCAGTAAGTTTTTGCTCATAGCAAGGTCTCATAAACTGGGCATAACCTCACCAAGAAAAGGTAAGATAAGGCAGTAAAAATATTGTTGCAGGGTTCAAGCTAGCTTTGACAGGACTTGGACTAAATAAGATAGAAGCTTCTTTCCTCTGCTTAGACTGATTCTATAAAATCATACGAGTAGCTACAAACATTGCAGAACAAGTGAATGCACGCAACAGTATGTGCACACACTTAAATAAACGATGAAGTATTTTCAAAGCAGTTTTGAACAGCAATATTTTGTTTCAACAGATTAATAAACTAACATCTTTGCCTTGAAAAGGCCTTTTCACATTACTACCTTTTTCAAATTAATGAAACTAATAGGAATAGGGTCCAATCACTGTTCAGACTCTGCTGTACAAGCAGCACTGTTAAATAACATTACTGCTTTAAAGACATTTTTATGCTCTGGCTGCTACTGTTACCACTGGTCAGCCAGTCAGCTAACACAAAGCATTCTATATAGCAAGATAAATTATCTAAAATGCACTCTGAAACGCAATAGATCCTGCTTCTCCCCATTACGTTAAACAGAAAAATTCTACTGTTGACTGATGGAAAGAAGATTCAAGTCACCATGAAGTTTATGTATATCCCAGATTTCATCAGAAAGCAAAAGGTGAGAAATGTCTTGTCTTTGTTGTAAGAGCAATCCATTGCAGAATACTAATAAATTCACTCAGTAAGACATTTATCTAAGTAATACTCAAAATGACTGAGGTGCACAGTTTATGTGCAATGAAACATGCTATTTTTCACTGCATTTTACACTGTGGTATGTCTCAGGAACCTAAAGATATCGATAAATTGTAGATTACTAAAGTGTAAACAAACATGTCTAACATTCCCTTCTTGTCCTCTCCTTTAGGGGACACAACTGAATAGCGACTTCCAAATTTACCATATACTTTTTTATTATTTTCTATGGAACAGCACACCTTGTCTAGTATTACTTAAATGTATCACATTATTATGAAGTTCAGCACTTCTCTATTTCCACAGCTCTAAGAATATCTTTGTTTCCAAACGTGTTTTTTTATTAACAACACTGCTATGCTTCAAACATTTGTCTTCTATTATTTGAGCAGCAAAAAGAATGACATTAACACAAAATTAGATGAAGAAAAAGGTTTTTTATCTATATAAAGTAAATTTCTAGAACTAAAGAACAATGTCATGACTTAAAAAGGTGCAAAGAAGGGAAGAAAGGGGGAAAAACAGGAGGAAGACTGCTCCTTCTCTGGTACGTATTTCATTCATTCAGCTCTGAAAAGAAAAAGCGGCAGCGAAGAGGGGGGCACCTCATGAGCCAGTACAAAGCAGGAAGTGGAAGAATTTAATAAGTTCAATATTGGATTCTACGCTTTGCACAAAATTCCAAATGCAAACAGCTAGGATTGATGTGCAGGTCCTTAGGCGTAGGGTACACGTAGGACAGCAAGATCAGAAATCCACTCCACCACCGCAAGGAGCAAGGCAACATGCCACAGCAGCAGCGCTCTCCCTAAGTTTCAGTCACCTTTTTATTAACCTAATGAAAGGTGTATTCTTTAAAAAAGCCTGATGAAAGTTACCACAAAATATGGCCGGGCCATCAAATGGAACATTAAAAGGGAATCACTATATAATCATGGAACACCCCCCTGCACCGTCATTGCAAACGTCATAGAAAATGGACAACCACGTAAAAAGTTAAGATGCCTTTTTGCCTTCCTAACATGGCCCTAGCCAAACCCAAAATGGTCTCTTTACCTGAGAGCGCTCTTCTGTTCTCTGATCACCGAGGGGTGAAATTCAAAATAGCGTTGTTACAGCTGGAGACGTAACAGAAGGACCAGGGAAGGTCTACACATGCTCCTTCGCAAACCACGCTACAGACCTTGGGAAAAGTTCCCTTAACTTTATCGTTTTGTACGTATCTTGCATCTGAAAGTCCCTTGCGTGAAGGCATTCATACCAGCTTCCACGGTCAAAATACGAACACCGTTCCCGCTGCTGTGCTTAAAAATAAAACCAGCGGCCACACGCCCCTTCTCTCCCGAACAAACAGCCTTACAGAGACGCTGCTGCTTTTGGTCTGATCCCTTAATCGTTACTTTTTTTTTTTCCTAGGAAGGAATATTTAAAAATCAACCAACCAAACCACACGCACGCTCCAGTGTATCACCACAGGGACGCTCTCAGGTCTGAATTACTGCAAAATAACACTATAATTATGTCTTAATTTCAGTAACTAATCTCAGATGAGCTTTTAAAAAGCAATTCCAGGTTTACAAGAAAAGCGTTTAAAATTGTATTCAAATGTTATCTGAATGAAAACCGACATTTATTTATCCTTTTCCGAGCTTAATTTTAACCAGTTTCCAAGGAAAGACGTAGCTGCGCCTGATCACTCTGGTGGCAAATGATAAACTTTGTTAAAAAGAAAAGCGTGGCATTTGAAAATAAATAAAAAGCACGGGAGAAGTTTCTAACCAAGGAGGAAGATAGGAAGAAACAACGTTATCCCTTTGCACAAATCTCCGGCCACAGAGACTAAGCACACTCTAATGACCTTATTTATTCAAATTGTACGCTGCCAACAAAGCCACTACCTAAGGCAACTTTTTAATTACAGATGCACCTAAATACCTAGGAAAACTAGGTTACTTCTCTTCACATGAAACCAGAGTCCCACTGAGCTCAACCAAATGTGGCGGGATGAGATGGCAGACAAAAATGGGTCTTACTTGGTGTACAAAGACATCAACTGGAGACTCCAAGGGGCTTCCCTCTCGGTTGCTCATGGAGATGAACCCGAATCCCATTCTCACATTGAACCATTTGCAATGGCCGGTTCCGTGCAAAACCTGGGATTCCTCCTCTTCTTCCTGCTCCGGCAACTTCCCGGGCTCGTCTCCACCTTTACTCGCCCCTGCTGAGGAAGAGGGA